AGTAGCAAGGCACTTGTTACTAGTAGCAAGGCACTTGTTACTAGTAGCAAGGCACTTGTTACTAGTAGCGTGGCACTTGTTACTAGTAGGGTGGCACTTGTTACTAGTAGCTTCCTACCCCCCCCCCGGTGATTTTGGAAACAACTCGGTCGGCTGGGAGCGGAAGGGCCTTAGTGTCCCTTTACTGAAGGATGGATACATTTCCATTCATTCAGCCGTTGTCCATTCTTTAAACCAGTTCTTGGAGCAGCTTTTGTGTTCAATTGAGCTTCCTCCACAGGGGAAAGTTCACAGGTGAGTGTTTATGTTAGTTCTGATTGAACAATCTGTGCTCAAAGCAGATATCTTTGCAAGGAGATCCTTCAAGAGGAAAGCCAGGAACTCAGAAAAGAAACACTTGAGATTGCTCGCAAAAGAACTCCATAAACTTTGCTTACTCAATCACTCCAACCGAAGAGCGACGGCCTCCAAAACGAAAAGGTTCTTGAAAGTGACTGGCAGAATCTGTGTTCTGATTTCTTCACAGCTCGGTCACACTATTTTTCCAAGATGAACATTTGTCGAAGCTCATGAAGACAGACGCCGGTGCTGGAGATGATGAGCTCAAGGCCACTAAGGATCAATCGGAGGCCTGGCTGGGGATGGGATGTGGATGTGGACCAATGCAGTTGGGTGTGTCTCGATGGATGTGACGTAGTTTCTGGATGTTAAGCCTCTGAGAACAAATCGTCCAATGCAGTCGAGCAGACAGGTTTTTGCTTGCTTGGTTTACCTTGTCCATCGCTCGCTCTAGGTGCAGAACCACAAGAATTCGTGCCTTGGCGTTGCCCGATGGGACTCCTGTGTTGCCAGCCAGTGAAAAGAGATATGATATGATATTCTTTCCTTTTGTCATCCCTGATGACTCCATTAGTCTGAATCACAGAAATTCTCAGAGGGTTACTTCACTGGCTTTCCAAATGTTTCCAAGGTCTGTCAGACTAGGAGCAAGGACGCTACTAGTAGCTCCTGGCCTTACAGCTAGTAAGAAGAAGCTACTAGGAACAAGGGCATCGCTAATAGTAACAAAGGGCATTACTACTAGGAGCAAACCGCTACTAGCAGCAAGCAGCTACTAGTAACAAGACGCTACTACGAACAAGGGCATCGCTAATAGTATCGAAGGGCATTACTACTAGGAGCAAATAGCTACTAGGTTGGAGGCCATCGCTACTAGTAGCAAAAAGCTACTACATAGTAACAAGAAGCTACTAGGAACACTAGGAACGTTTCACCAGGAATTCGCTTCTCTGAGGCTCGAATTCCGAGAGTTCAGCAACCTGAAGGCCTTACACGATGCCAGCAAGGCAAAGCCAAAGCGCAGGGACGTTCGGTGCGGCGTTCGGTGCGGGGTGACGAGCGTTCGTGGTAGCGCTCAGCATATTGAGCATATTGGGCATATTGTCCTTACCTCAAGTCCCTGTCATCCTTGGAATGCACCAATCACTGAATGGAATCACGTTGGCAAACTAATTTTCCTTTTTGAAGATTTGACCATCGCCGTTAAACAACGCAGCACAAGAGAATCATGGATACCAAAAGTACGGAACTCATCCACACTGAAGCGGGCAGACAGGCAGACTGTTTACCTCCATGCTTCCTCCCGGACAGCTAGTTGAACCTTAGACTCTACTTCAACAGTGCCATCGAAGGAATCTAACTAGATCCAATTAGAATGTTGAGTGGAATTCTCCAGATTAGGAAAACAGCTATAAGGTCGGTTGGAGGCCATCGCTAGTAGGTTGGAGGGCATTACTACTAGTAACAGGAAGCTAATTAGGAAGAAAACTTCCATTTGCCTCGGCCTGGACTGCAAGACCTCCGCTGCCTCAATGGGCTCGGCCTTCCTGGCATCCGCTGCAAGCAGCACGAGCAGCACGAGCTGCTTCTGCCGGAAGAAGCCGGAAAGCTCCTTGCGCGGCTTCCTTTGACGCGACGCTTTGGAGGCGAAAGAGAGGAAGATGAGGAAGGAACGTTTGGCGGTTTTTCCAGAGAGAGAGAGAGAGAGAGAGCGGAAAAAGAAAAGGAAAGACAGATGAGAAAGAAAGGAAGGTTAGCAAAGCCAGTGCGGCGAGGCACTGACATGAGATGATGTGAAGGAAACCGTGTACGAGAGAAAAACTTGAAGTGATGAGATCATGAGATCCTAGATTTATATGATTTATATGAGAATAATCTGCAACACTTCTCACAGACGAACAAGCACATGTGTCTTTCCTTGACACTTTCGAACTTGATCCAAATGGCTTTATGATGATTCATTGGCGGGTGCAATTGGGCGACTTGTGGTCGATGTGCGTGTGCTTTCGAGGCCATGCCTTGCTTCGGAAAAGGGCACGGGCTGCACGGGTGCATCTGGGGCGAACGATCGTTTAGCTGAACTCACGTGACAGGCAGCCGCCACAAATCGTTGCGTTTTACAACTTTCTGAAGAAAAAACATGCGATCGCTGCCAAGCAGAATGTCTCGGCGTTTGGCTCAAGTTCAAAGCATTTAGTCACATTTAGTCTCATGCCTTATGAGAAGCCACCAGTCATCTTGTAACAAACCTGCAGATGCTTCAGCCCAACAAGTTCGCGAGATATGCTGAACTGACGTTAGTCCTGTCAGCACTTTTGAAGCAGCCACCCTGAGTGATTTTCAAAGTGCAAATGCAAGAACACTTCCTCAACAGTTCCTCTGGTCATTGATCATGCCTTGTTGAGCAGCTAAGAAGCTTTTCAATTCCAAGAGCGAATCCACCACTTCGAAGGGCTCCCAGCGATGAATGGCTTTGTGGCGGGGCAATTTCGGATCTCCAAGCCTGAGACAGGCTTCCAGCAGAAGGCCATTTCAGCTTGGATGTGGGTTCCAGCTCCCTCTTGAATGGGCGAACCACAGCCAAAGGCGTTCTTCTTGTTGAATATTGCTCTCAGGCGTTTCAATAGCATTCTTGCTCTCATTACTACTCTGCTTTTCATTACAATTAGTATTAGCATAATTGTTGTTGGTCGTAAAAGGGCAGTGAAGTCCCTTGCAAACCCACGGGTCAAACCAGTCAGGCTCGGCTAGGCTAGGTCCTCTCACTGCAAGTCTCGAGGCTGGCAGCTACCGGGACTATGGTGATGGAAGTCAGTTCCAAAAGACCACGGGCCTGGCGAGGAAGCGGACGACAGGCCGTGTCGCTTGGGGAACATTCGAGAACTGTGGAGTGGTGGTCAGAATTCCCAAAGACGGATTGGGTTAGATGTTTACCGTTCGCTTTCTTTTGTTCCCCCACTCCCTCCCATTTGTTCAGGCACCGCTATGCCTCGGGAGAATTCGATCCACAAGGGCTTGGTTGTTTGTACCAAAGAGTACGGCGCCTTCGTCCAGCTTGGTCGCTGACTTGCAAAGAGCTTGACTCGGACGCGGATTCGGGCTGAGCGATGCTGAGCGGCTGAACCTTCCAAACTCGAACGGCTGAGAACACGCGAACCTCGAACCTTCTTGAAAGGGCCCTTTGACTTCGTAACAAGCTTGACACCCTTGTGGAAGAAATAGTGAACACCTTAATCACTTGACTCAGCGGTGCTTTTGTACCGCAGGGCCGTAGGGTTGAAAGGGCTGCAACACTTCAACACTGATCGTTTGGGTGCAGGGAAGGAGAGAGAGAGAGAGAGAGAGGGAGAGGGAGAGGGAGAGGGAGAGGGAGAGAAAGAGTTTGATGTGCCAATGGAAGTAAAGCATGACGAACCATTGACATGACATGTCATGACCAACGCAAAAGCATGCTTGTTTTGGCAACATGTTGGATTCACGAGGCAAAGGTGAGAAGTTCAAGGATGGCTTTCTACACATCGGCTGCTTGCCAAACCCGCCTGGCGTGGAGCGTGTTGAAGTCGTGCCCTGGCAGAGCTTAGAAATCCAGTTGCCCGCGGAGCGGACTTGGAGAAGAGTTCAAGGAGGAATTCCTTTGGTTTCCCTCTGGAGGATGACAAAGAATGTGGAACTTGCAAGATAGCGATGGCCTCCACCATCCTCCACCCTAGTAGCGACGGCCTCTAACCTAATAGCTAGACCTTTTTTTAGACCTTTCTTCTTGTTACTACTAGGCACTACTAGGAACAAGTGCATCGCTACTAGTAACAAGTGCCTTACTAGTAGTAACCTAATAGCTAGACCTTTCTTCCTTTTTCGAATAGCGATGGCCTCGGCAAAGTCCTGGAAGGATCCGATCCCTTCGGTGCCCTTTCTCGGTCGCTAGGTGAACTCTGTGGTGCGAGAGGGTGACACCGTTTGGGTCAAAGTGCGAGATGTGGACGTGCCTTGGCGAACATCGCGGACATTTCCAACTTTGAGGACATTGACTTTAGGGTTGCCAACTCCACTGAGGAAGAGAATGGCAAATATGCCTTGGACATGAGGCGAGAGGAAAAGGTGGTACAGCGTGCAAAGCCATGCCCACCAAATCCCACACAAAATTCTAATAGCGTCTTGTTTCTACTAGTAAGGCACTTGTTACTACTAGCGATGCACTGGTAACAAATCCCACACTTGTGGATTTCCTTTTTGTGATTTTCCTGAAACGAAGCCGCTAGGTTCGTGCACCAGAAGGATGGCCAGGACTTGGATCCTTTCAACGGCCGAGGTCGAGTGCCAAAGGATGTGGGATGGGTGTGGGCGCCAAGCTGCCAAACATGCTCATGACATTCTCGAGCTGTTGGCCATAGTCAGCCAAGTTCAACAGGAAAGAGCACCTGAATCAGCTTCCAGGATGCTAGCTTGGCGGGTCTTAGTCAACTAGACAGACTTCTGAACGGGTGATCCCAGCAATGCCATCATGTTTTGGACCTTTCTGGAGGAGCTGGCGCGATTCAGCGCTAGTGTCTTTTTTGTTACACCTCTCGAGGTGTTCCCCAAGCAGCAGCTGAAGCACATCCACGCGGCCAATGCTGTGATCTCCTCACAGCGTGAGGGCTTCGAGTTGAAGAGCGAAATCGAAAAGCGGAAAGAGGAGGAGACGCGGGACGTTTGGTGAAGAGACCCTGAGTGCGTTTGAATCGATTCAACCGTGCGCGGGACGCGGGATGTGCGTGTTTGCACTGAGATTCATTGGATTTGTTCATTTGTTCAGGAAGAACTCAATGTTTGTACCTTCGCACGGACTTCAAGAGCGATATTGGAAGTTGGCAAATGGGCTTTGGGACTACTGTAACCAATTTTGTGAGTCGTGAGACGCGAAGCCTCTTCAAACAGCAGTTTGACAGGAGGAGCAGGAAGCGCTCAGAAGGATGCAGGTGGAGTCTTCAGATGAAAGCCTCTTGGCACCGGTGTTTTGATTGGCACCTGTGCGATCGGATCGAAAGTTTCTTTGGCTTCGACTAAACGAGAACCTCTTGAGGACTCTCAGTGGAGAACTCCCTTGAAGAATGCATGTTTGGATGGATACCATTTCTTTGTCATGCCCAGCTTGTGATCATTTCTTTTGGCTTTGAATGAGGTGATCCTGAAGACAAGAAGCAGAAAAAGATGAAAAAGAAGTTGGAGAAGCAGAAGTTCTTCGGCCTAAGATGAAGTTATAAAGAAACCTAGTAACAAGAAGCTACTAGGTGGAGGCCAGCGCTATTAGGTTGGAAGTTAGAGGCCACTACACTACTACTACTACTACTACTACTACTACTACTAGAAGCAAGAAGCTACGAGTAGCCAGAAGCTATCAGGTTGTGGATGGATGTGGCTGTGGATGGCAGTCGGTCGGCGCAGACCCCCAACCCAAGGCAAAAGCTGGAGAAGCTAAAGCAGATGTCCGAGGCCAAGGCCAAGGAGAACGATAGACAAGATAGACCCAAAGAGGAAGAAAAGGTCAAAGAAAAAGTTTCTGAGAAAGAAGAGAAAAGAAGAGAGAAAGGGAAAGATAAAGAAAAGGCCAAAGACAAGCCAAAGGAGGAGAAGGACAGGGTGCCAGGAATTTCTGAATTTGTTTGGACCTTGAAGCGGACCCACTTTGAAGAAAGTAACGGATTTTGAGAGAAGTCAGACCCGTGAGGAGCGAAAAGAGAAGAAAGCCAAGTAGCTCGGCTATAAACCAAGACGAACACATCGTAGAAGCTACTAGTAACAAGGGCATCGCTACTAGTAACAAGGGCATTACTACTAGTAGCTAGAAGCTACTAGGAACAAGTTATATTTTTGCGCAACATATCGTTTTGTCGGTTTTGGATGGACAGCCCCGTGTCGTCTCGTTAACTTTCCCAAGGAAGCGACAGAGAGACTCCTCAAGCTGAAAAAGTGGCCGTCGTGGCGGGCCTTTGCTAGGGAAAGAGATTGTTATGAAAGGGATTTTAAGATCATGACATGGAAAAGAGATTCAGAATATCTACTAGGAGGAAGAAGCTACTAGGAGCAAAGGGCATCGATACTAGGAGCAAGGACGCTACTAGGGGCTCCTGGCCTTACTACCAGGAGCAAGAAGCTACTAGGAGCAAAGGGCTATATAGATGACAACAAGATGACAACTTCTCTTGGTAGCAAACATCTCACTAGTCCAGTGTTGCAAGTCTATCTAAATTCTCCATCACAAGCAGCTAGACGATGTAGCTAGTAGCTTCGAGTTCCTGTAACTCAGACCTTTGGAGACATTTGCATTCTTCAGTCTTCATCATTCGTCAGAGCAGCTGCAGACAAGATGCTGCTCAAGCTTACGTCCCTGCAAGCGTCCATCAAGCCTGAAGCTGTCGAAACCATCGACGAGCCAGTCTGGGAGCTAGAGGAAAAGAATGTGGAGGATGGCGCCGAAGTCCAAAGGAAGCTCAAAACAAAGATGGCCAAGAGGCTTGTAAAGAAGACAAAGAAACTCCATGACTTCTTAGAGGAGCACGGCTTTTCAGAAGATGTGAACGAACCGCAAAAACCTTCCTGCTTTTGTAGACGGGAGTGCCTGTATCCAATCCATGTTGCCACGAAGAATGGCGATGCCGAAGTAGTTCGGCTCCTTATTGATGCAGGCTGGGCTGAGGTATGCTGGCTGTTGATCTTGAGCTACACATGGTTCGTACACTCCGACCAACATGGAAGTGACGAAGACCCTGTGGTTTCAGTGGTCATCTTCACAGGGGCCATGGCCTAGTTCCATGTTATGTTAGTGAGTCTGAAGACATTTTTTCAACCAAACATTTCGGCGGAAGCATCGCGAGTGGCTTTTGTGTTTTGTGCAGGTGCGAATCCTTCTCAAAAGACCTCGAAGGGACGCAGCACAGTGGGGATCGCTCAGAAGGCCCACCACCACCATCTCGTCCCCATCCTCGAAGGGGCGAAACCTTTGTCTGCCCGTGAACTCATGAAGATTCAGATAGAAAGCTGCTGACCAAACGTGGTGATTCAGCTTTGTCAAGCTGCGTGAAAGCATGAGAAGAGCAAAAACTTTGCATTCGCTTTGTCAAAGACACTACGAATGCGCTTGAAGCTGTGGAGAAAAGTGTCCAGGAGATTTTCCCTGTCGCCTTACAGCAGACTCCTGCTTGTCAAGGCGACAGAAATCCACCCTGCCTGGGCAGCTCCTGAAAGAGCCGAGATGCACGAGATGCAAAGTGTAAACATCATTCTTCTTAGCAATGGCCTCCCGGGCCTCCTAAAACAGAGCTGTTTTCCTGTGAAACCGATCCCCAGAGCAAAGAGATCAATCCAGATCAATTGATCGTTTGGAGCACTAAACATCACCTGTCCTTCTTTGTCGTTGTGAAGTGCACCAGATCTGGGGAGAGGTTCTACCATTTATCAAGCTTTGCAGTCTCACCAGTATTTGTTGGCAAACACCTTCGATGGTCGTTTATGTGGCCTACTCTTTCTGTCTCCTTTGGGCAGAGAAGAGCTTCACAGAGCTCTAGTCTCGACCTTCGCCCTCAGACAGGATCATTTTCATGAGGGTGATGTCGATCCGGTAGATCTTCATTTTGCAAGATGAACATGGCGTGACAATGGACGGGGTGGACGAGTTCTGGGTATTCCGCGATGGCCCACACTGTTTGGGCGGTACGAATTGGTGCAAATAAAGCAATCTGATTCGGGCACTTTAGCAATCCCGGCAGTTTAGGCTGGCCCACATGGGCATGGGAATCTACTTGTCCTCCATTCGATGAGAAAGACTGAAGGGAAGGACACAGACAAATTCGTTCGATTTTAGTAGACAAGAGCCAAGTCTTCGAACCTTGCACGGTTTCCTTTTGTACGCCTAGGTCTGATTGTTCCAGTTTTTTCTTTTTGCGATTCCCGGCTAGAGGAAGCTCCTACAACCAAAAAAAAAAATTAATACTATAAGCAAGGACGCTACTAGGGGCTCCTGGCCTTACTACTAGTAACAAGAACGCTACTAGGAACAAGTGCATCGCTTGTAGTAACAAGTGCCTTACTAGTACTGTAGTAACAAGAACGCTACTAGGAGCCTTTTCGTGCGCTGAACACCTGCATTCCATTGGCTCCTCCAGCGGGGCCGGGCCACGGCCGTGAGCCTCGCCCGGGGATTGGGAGGCCGACAAAAAGTGGGAGCTTCCTTCTATTCATTTAGATGTGTTTAGACTCAGGCAGCTTCCCACAGATGTTACATCTGGATACAGCTGTCAGATGTTACATTTAAGTATTTTCTTTGTCCGGGAAACCTTGGAGACGATTTTCTGCATTGTTTGATTTCATTGGATTTATGATCTTGTTCCTGCAAGAACCATGGCTTGGAGAGGGTGCCGAAACACTGCGCTCGTGTTGGGTTCTTGACGAGGCGATGGCTTCAGAGCTAGCGGTGCTCCCTAGGGGCAATGCGGCTGGGAGCCACAGTGGAGGGGGCCTGGAGCCAAAAGGT